CCACACACCCCCCCTCCCCTGCCTCCTTGAAAGAATCAAGTCACTCCTTGTTTGCTTTCCAGCTGGTCCATTGTTTCAACACAAAACCAGAGCAGGGTCCACTACAATTTACTCTGCCTAACTTCCAGGGACTTCAGCTCTACTCAGAAGCCCATCATTTCATTGCTGTGTCCCTATACACTTCCTATCATAGCATCTACTCCAAACCTTTTCCATCCAAAGTCCCTAATACCACTCCTCTCATCCCCTGCCCCAATGGACGGGATCTACAAGATTTTCTGTAACTCTCTGGCAACCCAGGCTAGGCCTCCATGATAGCCCACCAGGACTACCTTCATATCACAATAGTCTTGGCCTCTCTTCTTCCACTCCAGAGTAATGAACACTCTGTTGCCAGATTAACCTTGTGAGTACACAAATCTCATTATGACGTTCCCTGGCTCAAAAGCCTCTCCAACAAACCCACAGCCTTGTGAATTAAATTCCTAGTCCTTAGCCCAGAACTTCCCACCCCATCCTCTCTCTCAGAACTTACTCCCTCTACATCCCACTCACCCATCTCCTGTCCAACTGATTAGTTACTGCTACTGAGGCCATGTCAGCACATTTTGTCCTAAATATCATACCTCGTGCAATTTCCTGGCTTGTTTTCCCTCATCTCTGCCCAAGAAAACCCACTTACACATCCAGACCCAGCTCAAAGCACACTCCTTCCTGGAAGGTTTCCCCATGCAACCCCACTGGCAGTAATGTCTCCTCTGAAATCCCAAGAGGTTCATTATGGCAGCAGTCCCCAATCTTTTTTGGCATCAGGGACCAGTTTCATGGAAAACAATTTTCCATAGACCAGGGGTTAGGGGGAGGGAAAATTATCAGGCATTAGATTCTCAAAAGGAGCGTGCAACCTAGATCCTCACACGTGTAGTTCACAATAAGGTTCATGCTCCTATAAGAATCTAATGCCCCTGCTGATCTGACAGGAAGTGGAGCTCTGCTCACCAGCTCCTGCTATGTGGTCCAGTTCCTAACAGGGCACAGACCTGTACTGGTCCACAGCCTGGGGCTTGGGGACCCCTACTTTATGGCATAGTCTAGTTTATATTTTAGACATTTCTATGTTTATCTCTGTTCTACTAGACTACAAACTCCTTGAGAGTAGAGAATTTGTCTTATAAATTTTGGCATCCCTTATGCTACCTACCCATCTAGGCACTCAGCAAATGATCTTTAAATATTTTAGAGCTAAAAGTTGTAACCTACTTGTGACATGATAAGGGCCCCAAACAGGGTGACAACTAGTAAAAAAAGAAAAATAAATCCAAGATTCAGAAGGAAATTATTAGAACTTAATGACTAATTGAGACAAGAGTTAGAGGGAAAATGTAATGCTAAGGTTTCAAATCCAGCGACTCAAATATGCCAGTACTATTCACATTAATGTAGAAGCCAGAAACAGGTATTATTTTCAAAGGAGATTTTAAGTTTTTGATATAAAGATGACATAAGCTGATTTCAGTGTTAGATCAAACTGCTACTTTTGATTTTTTTTTCCCTCTTTTTTTAAGGTCTTCCCTAAGAAAAATTTAGGGGAAATAAAAAATTAATTTCAATCATGTGATTGTAGACAAAGGAAATATGTATTAATTTAAGTGTAAGTTTCAAACTCTAAATAATTAGGTCTTCACTTAATTCTTATTTAAGGGTTGCAAATTTGGTATCTATTACACATGTAAAGTGATGTTTTATTTTCTTAAAGTTCTTTTTCATTGCTCTGGGGACTGTATATTACTGTATAGATCATTCTCAGGAGGAACATTCCCAGGAGGAAGCAGGATTTACCAAGTCAGTTTGGTCAATGCCCAGTGATTGACCAAGGGGCAGGAGATATCAGGCTGAGATATCAGTTTAAGAGAACCTACCTCCCACCACCAAACTCCCAACCCCCAGACCGCAAACAACAACTATTTTTGTACAAATATTCAACTGCTTTATGTGCAGGTTGGTTTTTACCTTGGGATATGCTAAATACATGTAATTAAACAATATGGATTTGGGCTTCTTCTAAGAAGACCAACTGTAGAATAGTTACATAACAATTTAAACTCTTACTACGGAATATGACAGCCAAAGCTGCTCAGAAGGACAAAAAGGAAGCAACTCTCAGTGGGGCCAATTAAGTTTTTTGCCAAAAACTTTAGAAATGATTTTAATTAGTTGGCTACCACAGAGAGGTTCAAAGTTGCAAACAATGGAAAGCTATATATAACACCTACTTGTATCATTAAAAGGTACTTTTTCATTGATGATTGATAAGGATTCCTCTAATCTACCCGACAAATCTTCATGGAGATTCTTTAACTGTAATTGGCTGCAAGAAAAAAATACAAAACCACATTATCACCAGTTGTAGAGTAAATCCTCATTTGCTTGTTACCGCAATAGTTGGTATCAGGTTTTCAGAGGACTGTGCCCGTCATCCCGAATACTCTTGGTGGAGTTGTTAAAAGATGAAGACAGACCGGGCACAGTGGCTCACGTCTATAATCCCAGCACTTTGGAAGACAGAGGCTAGAGGCTTGGGTTCAAGACCAGTTTAGGCAACACAGCAAGACTTCATCTACCCAACAAAAATTTTAAAAAAATTAGCCAGATGTAGTGGCACATTCCTGTAGTTCTGGTTATTTGGAAGGCTGAGGCAAAAGAATCACCTGAGCCCAGTAGGTCGAAGCTACGGTGACTCTGATCATGCCACTGCACTCCAGCCTAGGCAACAGAGTTAGACTCCAACTCCCCCCAGAAAAGATGAAGATAACAAAAACACCAAACCTGGATTCTAAAGTCCTAGACATTTCTATACAATGATGTGGGAGTTTGGAAGAATTTATCATAGTCCCATAATTTATACAAACTTAAGTTACTTTCCCCAGGCTCCAAGTAATCTAAGAGACACTTCAAAATCATAAATTTTCTCTTTACATCGCATAAACGCTCATTCAAGCATCACTGTAAAGTTTTTTTTAAATACATATATCAGATTTTTTTTCCCTGAGCTCAAAAGCTGATAATTTCTGGGTTGGATTCAATTATGAAGACAGGTACACAACTAATCATGCATATAATTCTACCAAAGCAACTAAACTGAAGTGAGAAATTCACTTATTGATCGTATTAAAACCTAAAATATTGTTTATCAAATAAAAGTTGGAATATGCCTTTACTATGCAACACTAAGTCATATTTTAATTTTAGGATTTAGATATCTCCAAATTCGATCACATAACCTCTGTTTTATTCAAATGTACCATTAAAAGGTTGGCACAGTGATTATGAGTCAGCTTTCCTCCCGGGGCTATCAGAGGGTGCCTGTGTTTAGAGTAGTTTGAAACAAAGTCTCTAGTCCTCAGTCCAAGGGCTCCAGAACACTATCTCCCACCACTCAAAACAGGATCAGGACTGACGCGTAAGCCACTTCCCATCAAGAGTGCTGAGGCCCCAGAGATCCCCGAACTGAAAAGGACCTGGAGAGTACCTACTTCTGTCTCTCAATTCCAAAGTGAGACAGTTCAGACAGAGCTGCTAAAACCAAAACTCAGGTCTTCTGAGTCCTTACTTCAGAGTCCCCCTGGAATTCAAGTTTCTACATACCATTCTTCCGTTCGAAGTCGACATTCCTTGGCTTCCTTTTCTAGAGACTGAGATTTTACCTGAATTTTAGAAGAAAAGAAAAGCAGATGGTTCAGGCTACAGACGAAAACACACTCAAGAGACCCTGCGGGCGACAGTCTCTGTGGTAATGACTAACTTTGTTCTACAAAACAACAAATGATTCACAAGGGGCTTACCTCTAGTTTAGCCTTATCATTCTGAAGTTTCTCAATGGTTTCCATGTACTTCCGTGTGAGGCCATCAACCACAGCTTGGTGCTGAGACGCTTCCGTCTCCAGCACGGCCAGCCGACTCCTCAGCTCTGCTTCCACATGCTTGTGCTGCTCATCAGCTTCAAAAAACTGAAAAGACAAGCCCATTTTCTCTTTACACAGCATCCCAACATATGAATGAGCAAAACATCAGCAGTGACTATTCAGTGAGCAACTTCCATATGGGCCCCTGTGCTCACTGCGCTAAACTCACCCAGGCATTATCTCATGTAATCCTCACAGTATATGTAGTATCCCTCTTTAAAGATGTGGAAACTGAAGCTAAAATATAGGAGACATGAGATTTGAAGACTGGAAACTTACTTCAAAGCCTGCACCGCCTTCCTCTCAGTCTCATGAACTCCTATTTCAAACAATTTCTGGCACACATAGAATTCAACTGATCAGGGTATAATTTTGTTACAAAGCTAACATTCACAATTAAATAAGCAAAATTAAAACAGGCGTTATTCCTAAAACAAGCAAAGCTCTTTCCCCTAATGAGAGTACAACACTAATTAAGAATTATGAACACTTAGACACAAAATCCACTGAGGTCACAAGTTCATTTTTTAAAATATTTTCAAAGACTGAGAATTACACATACTTAGTTTCTACCATTTGACTAAAAAAAAAAATTCAGGAGGTATAATTGGATATACTACACTATGACTCTTACAGTATGCTCAGTAGTTTGGGGACAGATACTGGCTTTCCCGTTCTATAAATATCTGAGTGTCTGGCATAAAAAAAAGAACCTGTCCTTGACTGGATATAGAAAATAGACATGGTCCACACCCTGACAGATCTTACAGTCTAATGGGGGTAACGTATAAGAACCAACTAAACATCAATAACTTAAGAGACAAACACACTTACTGATAGGCCCCACTTAAATAATACATCCAGACTCTTCCTGAATAAAATGAATAGTGCCCAGTATATGTCTGTATTGTTAAGTTACAAAGCTATTTTGCTGTACTCTGAACAAATGCTTATACTTCAAAGCACATGTACATATTAAAATATGTGTGAAGTTTAAGAAATGAACAAATGACACTCACATATATACTTAAAGACACAGGAGACACATGAAAACATCCATGCAGACACAAAACACTGTGTCTGCATTGGTTTTTCCACATTCCAGATAACACATCCCATTTTTTAATTCATACGAGAAGAGAGTTTCTCACTTGTATATGCAACCGTTCATTCTCTTCTATCTTCTTTTGTAGATCTTCATCAAAGACACTCTTCTGCTCTTGACTCAACTGAGAGGAAGATTCTCCACTTTTCTGATGGAAAGAATAAGTTATGTCCACATAACTTTCATCCTTTAGAGAAACATCCTAAGGTACACAGATTCTCTATCACCTTAGTAGCTTGTCTCTTCTATGGGTTCACCATTCTCAAACAATCCTGCAAAAGGTATACAGTTCATCATTTAACTTTTCCTATGTGATACAGGTCAAAACTGCAATGGACAAGAAAACTTTAAAAGAGAGAGAGAGAAAGGAACAGATAAGGCTCATTATTCTTTGCAGGTGATTTCAGGAGTAGTTCTTTTGGAGGACAGAACAGACCCTGAAAGCTAACAATATAAATATGCCAATAAACATAACTTCTATTTGATATTTTGGTTTGATCAAATGTGTTTTAGCAATTCCATGAGTCAGAGTTGTTAAACTCCTTTAAGAAATTGTAATAAATTATGTAATAGCATCTACAAAGATAAGTTTATATAAAAGTTCACATAAGCCGGGCTCGGTGGCTCAGCCTGTAATCCTGCACTTTGGGAGGCTGAGGTGAGGTGAATGGATTGCCTGAGCCCACAGGTTCGAGAGCCCACAGGTTCGAGACCCGCCTGGGCAATTTGGCAAGACCTCATCTCTACAATAAATCAAAAAATTAGCCAGGCGTGGTAGTGCACGCCTGTAGTTCCAGCTACTTGGAAGGCTGAGGTGGAAAAATTGCCGGAGCCCAGCAGGTGGGAACTGCAGTGGCTGGGAGCAGCCACTGCACTCCAGTCTGGGTGACAGAGTGAGACTACAACTCAAAAAAAAAAAAAAAGTTCACATAAATTTCTAAATTAAACTATATAACTATATAAAGTAAAGCTATAATAAACATACATAAGAAAAATCTCAAAAATTATACAAAATCCATTTCGTTAGATTTTTTTTACTAGCATTAACTTGTCCTACATAGAAGAGAATAGCACTATTTAAAAGATCTAATAATGAACATTTGTTTTCATGTAATACATAGAACTGAGACTATTCAAGAAACGGTCTAACAACAAGGCTGTGTTCAGACATCAGTCACCACCCTTCTGTGCCTTTTTTGTACACTAAGTCCTCACTGAAAATGAAGTTACCTACTGATCCAATTTAACCAGTGATCAAAAAACCCTTTGAAAATGCAGTAGCTATATATTTTTTAAAAATTAAACATCCACCATGCTTGGAACACAAGAGGTACATAAGGAACACTGTTGAATGACATATTCCAGGTCCTCAGTGCTTCCAAATTTAGAAAGCTTTGATTGAAATTACACCCAAACCTTTGCTAAACTATCCTAGGACAGGATATTAATAATCTGGGAAGCATGTTGAAGTCTTGATAGCTATTCTCTCCACAAGGGTCTTTCAGAATCTCTAGGACATGTAGATTTTGACAAAGTTTCCCAAATGATTATTCTAGTACATACCGTATGCCCTCTGCCCCTCTTTTTGAATGTTACCACTCTAGAGAATCCTTCCAAGTAGAGGAAATGCATATGGGAACAGTATTAACATATAATGAAGCCGGGCTTGGTGGCTCAGCCTGTAATCTCGCGCCTTTGGGAGGCTGAGGTGAGTGGATTACCTGAGCCTGCGGGTTCGAGACCCGCCT